TGCATATATTTCTCTAAAATTGGAGGGATCATTACCAACACAGAAGATGCGTTGAATAATAAGCGAGAGAAGCAGCAAGATGAGTGTTCTATCGAAGTTGAGCAGAATTACTTTGGAGGCTCAACGCGGTCAAAAGCCTAAGACCATATGCTCTTTCTTTGCCTTAAATAGTTTTCAACCGGCCGCGCAAGATATTGCTAGCACTTTCTGCTTTCCGAAATTACTAGAAAACAATAAGAAGATGGAATTACTGTTACAGTTAACATAGTGGTCAACTACAATTATTCAATTTCAATGCAAATTACTTAGAAACCTATTTACTCAATGCTAAATGCACTTGGCACTGTATTTTTAATTTTACGGCATAGCCTTCTCTTAAAATTTATCTCGAGCTACTTTACACACAAAAACAAAAGAATTTTAATATAATCTACCAAAATTACCTAGCTAAATACAAAATTCATAACAATATTTATTAAAACACTTTTAAATAAATAATAATAACGCAAAAGGAAAAAAATTAAATTCATTGTGCTTATTTTCTAACCGTAGCACATTTCGTTTGGTTACATTTCGTAATTCAAATGAACTGGCAACTTAAATTTTTGGATCAATTTTATTTTAAATAATTCTAATATTTTGAATTAACCGCTAAATGACTTACTTTTAACGTAAAATTAAAATAAATAAAGTACTAAAACGTACCAAATTTTGACAGAAGAGTTACCCAGAGGGGAAAAAATCTTGAGATTATACCGATAGCTTATTCCTTTATGTATTATATTTTTTACGGACACATCGACACATTCATAATATGCACACGACTACACACGATTATATGCAGATAAGCACTGCATAAAAATATATATAATGAAATGTGTGGGCGAACCGCATTAAATTGCTTCGGGCGCCGCATGCCTTACAATAAACATATTTCTAAGCCACTCTCTAAACCCTAAACGAAATTCTTCACTCTGTCTTTCTAAAGGATTCTCCTACTCAAACTATAATCCGTTATTGTAATGACATTCCCCTAAGAGACAATGATATCCCATTTTCAAAACAAGAAATCAAGCTAATAATTAAAAATCTAGTTCTAAAAAAAGGCACCAGATCCAGATGGCATCGATAATCACATTATAGAATTAATCATTCAAGCCCATTCTGACATAATCTATAGTTTTTGCAATCTGCGTGTAGAGTTTCTCGACATTTCCTGATTTCTTGAAAATAAGCAATATCGTACTCTTCGATAAGAAGAATAAAAGCTCCGATGAACCTAAATCTTATCATCCAAATATCGTCTCCCAGCGATGGGAAAGATTTTGAGAAGATGACTCATTGGCCGCTTAAAATGAGCTGTTTATAACAAAAACTTAATAATTAATAGCCAGTTCGGATTTTGAAGATTACTTTCAACAATCCATGCAATTAATTCAACTCTTCAAGAAGTCAAAAACAATAAAATCGACAATAAAACACCATTCTGCAATAATATGCCTGCAATAATGCACACATTCTGCAATTCTGCAATAATATGCAATAATATATTCTGCAATGATATAAACAATAAAATACCATTCTGCAATAATATGCCTAAACATAAAATCAGCTTTTGATTCTTTATCGTGGCCAGCAGTCTTATAATCTTTGCGTTCCTTTAAGTGCCCTCAAAATTTACTTCTAATTATTCAAGATTATTTCAGAAACAGGAAAAGTATGATTGTTTACAATGATGTTGAAATTGTACCTAATTTTGTCAGAGGATGTTCCGAGGGGTCGTGCAGATATCTGAAATACCAGTTTCAACTAGATCATTACCTATCCATGGCGAAAATGCTCAAAATTTGTCAGCTGCTTTTGCAGACGATATAGCTTTCACTACAAGTCGTTGTACCAGAGATATTTTATAGGATAATTGTAATCAAACACTTCTGATATTTAATAAAATTCGAGAAATTCAAAAGTTGCTAAAAATCTCCGTAAAAAGTCTCAAATCTTAGAAATCCATAAATAAGAGGAAAATGTAACTAAAGCCTTAGCTCAAATTGATAATCAAAAGATCAAGGTCTGCGAATACATAAAGTACCTTTGTAAGGATTTTAAGTTTTACTAAAGTTTATTTTATTTTAAAACTTTGCTATCCTCCCTTATTTTCCATTTTCGGCCAGAAAATGCGCGAAAGATTTATTTATTCTAATGAGGTTGTAAACTGTGTAGGTATTTAAAATATGGCCTTTAGCTAAAAGAGAGAGAGAGAGAGAGAGAGTGGAGAGAACGAGGGACTTCTTACCTCCTTACCACGTACATGCTTTTCAGTCAGTTCCTGTCTGCCTTTAAGGCTAGAACTTAGTACTCTTTGATACTTAAAGACTTATTGTAGTTTCCTACATCCTGCTCACTGCATACGTCGAGTTAAAAGGCCAATCTTCGCGATATTACTCTCTGTAGAGCATATAAGTTTAGTTCTTATTTAGTTAAGTTAGTTTATTTCTTATTTTCTATGTTTTAGGCCATAAGTGCTGGTCTTCGAATCCCGAAGTGCGGGAACGTCTCTACACTGTGAGAAATAAAGGGTAAATTTAACCATTCTTATTTTTGTGATATCTTCTACATACACACGAACACAGTTTTTAGTAAACTCCCTGTTCCTACTAAGGACTCCAGTTATGTTTCCAAAGACAATTAGAAGGAACAGCAGTCCTGACACCTTGATTAACAACAGGCAAGGAATTCTCCTTGATTCCTCTTCTATAAAATACTAAATGTCACCCAATATCAATAGCTAATTGCGTATACAAAGCATGTATGGATATAATGGGGTCTTAAATCCTCATATAACACGGATTCTTCTAAACAAGGGTCATATCAAAAATTGGAAATTACGGAGCCGGAATTTGGGCACAACCAATGTGACTAAAAAAGATTAAATATTTATATTCAATTTAAAGGCCTTTTACTCTTTGCATTACTCAAGCATATCGCACAACTTAAGATAGCTCCAGATACTTTAGCGGGCATACTTCCATTATCAATCAGTGCAGAAATGGTTCCCACCTACATGAAAGTCCTTTAACTTAACAACTAAACCATTCTGTTACCCGACTATAAAAAGAGAAAGAATTCCAATCTTATTCATTCAGCACTTCGTTTCAGCAAAATAAAATTTATCTCTATTTGCATATGGTGATGGATCAAAAATTGAAGGAAACATGGTTCAGCAGTCTATTGTCAAAGTACGTTTCAATAATATCAGGCGGAAAGATCATCCTCGTAATAATAATAGTATTTTCCAAGCTGAATTGTGAGCTATAAAAGCAGAGATTGAAAGAGCCCTTTTCAAAACTCTCAATGAATTTATTATAAACTCTTACTCCCAAGCAGCTATTTTAGCGATTAAGAGCCACTTGATCTTCCTCTCCATTGATTTCCGACGTTAATTCGCTTCTTCCTTTAGTTCTAAATTACAAAACATTAAATTTCATGGATCAAAGAACATAGTAACCTTTTGGCAAAAATCAGGCAGATTGATTAGCCAAAGAAGAAACTCTTCATCAAGAAGGTATTAAAATCACCCTTCTATGGCCTCTTTCAAATTTCAAGTTCCAACTAAAATAACTTAATTCAAATTATTGATAAGATTTCTGGAATAAGGCGTCACAAGGAAAGCGCACATGTAACATGATATCCAATATCAGCTTCGCATATGTGTACTCAAGTCCTTCATTAAAATACATATAACAGGCCACGGATGCTTCCCCACATATTTCTACTCACGAAATTTGGCCAACTCCGGGATCCGCGTATGTGGAGAACAGGGAATTTCTGATCATTACACTTTTTCATGCCCCTTAACTGAGGATAATCACATAAAATCCCCATAAACTGATTTTATAAGCATTTCAAAGGTTTCTAATTAAAAATAAACGTAACTATCCGAAATTAAAAAAAAATATGGAACGACTTTCTTTCTATAATCTAGATATTTTTCAAGTATAATTACTTATACTGCATACATTTAATGAGCTTGTACACCCTGTGATTATATCCAAAATGATTCCACTTATTAACTTTAAAAATGAATAACAATAATAATTGTAATAGTCTTTTATCACTGTAATAAGCCCGGGGACATCTCTTTAGTATTAATGGTACAGTTCATTACAGCACCGTGTTCCCAGTATTTTTTATATTTATCTCTTACTTATTATATTTATTTGTTATTTTTGTTGTACCAAAACAACTGATCAATTTAATTTCAGAATTTCAGTTCGTTTTGAAACTATATTGTATTCTATGTTCTGTATCGTTATATTTAGGTGTTATACGATGTGCATTATACGATGTACTGATAATAGGTAAACTCCTCAACTCCTTTGAAAATTTCAGTTGCTCACTTTCTAAACCTTTCTTTGTTAACGCTTATGAGGCTTGCAATTTTTTAAAATAGTTTTAGTATGGAAAGGCATTACCAGTTGACTGCTGGGGTCCCCCATATTATTTCCTGTGTCTATACCTATGTAAAATACCTTATACTAATTATATAATTTATTACGAAATATAGCCGATTAGTAAAGAATCAGGAAAAAAAACAGATGCTAATTTTAGTATGTTAAGACCAAGCTTAACAATTATGGGAAATATAAGAAATTAACTCAATAGAGATTATTGTTTTAATTCGAGAAATTGTTTTAACTGAATTTGAAACGTGATATGTATTAAAAATGCTAAAATTATTTTGCATTTAATAACCAATCAGATATTTTATTATTTAAGCATGCATGCAGCAAATTATCACTATTTGCATTATCTTTGACAGGCAATTTTTAATCAGTTATGCGATCAAAAATTGCCTTTCATACGATTTAGTATGGTATCGATGAAAGAAATCTTCTAATCGCTCATATTAAATCAAGTATCATTAAGTCAAAGTTGGAATTTACTTATAATAAAAGCTTAAATATGGTACCTCGTATAACAAACATAAACTTGAAACATACCTTCACATTCACAAATTTGTCGCCTAAAACATAAAAAGAATTCGTAGGCATCCTCGTCATATTCTGACATTACGTGGGAAAGGATCTCTGTATAATATAACAATGCAATAAAATATGGACTGTACCCAAACCAAGCCATTATAGCAACTGATTAACTTTTGTTCCCCAAATGCTTTAAATATGGCCTTTCTTCTTTATCTATACAGGCTGTGTAAACAGACCATTATTTTATAAACCATACGGAGGAAAAAATGAAAGCAGTTAAAAATATTATATTTATTTTTATTTTACTTCAGTGCATGAATGGCACTTTGTCCCTCTTGTTACAGGAAATTTTCTGTTTGAAAAGTTTGGAATAAATTCAAATTGCAATAATGTATAACAATAGCAATAATATAGATAGTGGAACAATAGTAGTTAATGTGCAACAACAGCAAGACGAAGATTTCCGGTAAACATCCGTGCTTTCGTTTCGAACATGCCATAATGAAAGACAAAAATTTTAAGATTCATGTGTTTATTTGCATACAACTTGCTACTGTATCGTTTCTAATATGCTTCAGTATTCTTAAAGAGGTTTATTAGGAAAGTAGTCATAGAATTTAATTTTTATAAGCATATCTTGTTAAATCACATTAGTTATTAAGTACTAAAGTAATTTAAAAAGTATTGTTATTTGTTAAGTAGTATTTTTAATTTTATTTTTATTAAAATATGTAATACAAAATAGTTATTACTACAGAAATGTGGATTAAAATATGATTTATACATACGGTATGAATTAAATGTATTGCTATGGTAGCTAAACATATTTATATAGCAACATACACTTTTTGCATGTTTACATTTTCTGTTACTTTTTATACTTAATTAAGAAAAAATCAAGTTAATGAGCATAAATGCGTGTTTTGATTTAATTCTTATACTGGATAAATTTGCCATAAGCGGTTCACACACAATGGAATTCAAATCAGTGCACAATCTTCTGAGCAACAGTTCGACTTACAAAGTCAAACCGTGAGGCGAAACATATATAGTAAAACATGTTCTATAATAAAATGTAAATGTTCAACAGTTAATATATAATAAATGTATTATTTTCTTACATAACATGCGGAGATTTCTGAATGTACTTATATTTTAGTCCATAATTCGAAGAAAGTTCTTTTCTAAAAATTCACATAAAAATATTAATTTAATTTTAGAAGAAACAATATTCTTATTTTGCGGAGGGGTAACGCCTTTGCCAAAACATCGGGATTTCAACTGTTCATGTTTCTTTTTATTGTCCTTCAGTTATTGGATATTCAGCGGATCTCTTACATTTTAATATTTTCAGTTCTCTAACCAAGACTTAATACGCATGTATTACGAACATACGCGATCCAAAACAGAGGAATTTGAGTTCATATTTAGATCAACTATAATATAGTGTTTAATTTTAATTTTCTTGACGCATTTCATAGCACTGAGATAAAATGAAATTGGATTACAATTTGTTACTTCTACTTTGGTCACAAATATTCGTTCTTATCATCACAAATCACTGCGAAGACGATTTTAGTTCTACAAGATAGTACGTAAATAGGATTATTGTGAATGCAAACGAAGTACAATTGATGAGCAGCAGTCATACTGCGAATAATAGACACTTGCTTTTTTAAACATGTTTACATGTCTTGCCTTTGAAGTCTAATAACACACACCCATGAATTTTTGTTGTCGAAACAGATGAAACGAATACTGAACGCATGCCCATGGACATAGACATGGACATGATGTATTACATCAATGACTTTCATATAGTGTTGGCATGGATTTAGAAATAACTACATCGTTAAAAGCATTTTTAAAGAAAAGTGTTGATAAACAGTCATTAAATGAGTCTGCGCATTTCGCTTGAATTTCACAATCATTTGGATTTCAGATTAGCATAAAAAATTCAATTTTTTTCTGTTTACCTCATATTATAAACTTGAATAAATCTAGAGATGAAAAATAATCGTCAAGTAATGCATGATTATAGAGAAATGCCATCCATTCTTCCGTGCGATTTTCAGGAAGCGAAAAGTTCTTGAAAGCAAAAATTTTATAGAAATATTTCACCTTTTCTATAAGAGTGGAATGAAGCCTAATAGGTCAGAAAGGCGATGTATTATTGAGAGAACATCTATTTTGATTTCGGTCATTTCGATCTTAGGTACCTACGATCATTACGATCTTAGGATCTTAGGTCATTACGATCTTAGGTTTGTAGAAAAAGCTGCTCCTAAAGCCTCGGTAACGTGAACACAAGACTCTTTATTTGCCCTTTTATTTTCAACATTTTTGAGTACCTTGAAATAATGGTATCTTTGAGTACCATTATTTGAGTAGCTTCTTACCACCATGTTAAAGGAGACAAATTAACCGTGTTTGCAACTGCATGGCATTTTGTATTACATTAGCTGCAGTTATGATGTAATCGTCGTTGGAGCCTTGTAATAGTAGCAATAATGCGAAAGAAATCTGCTGCCAATTGTTTAAAACACTTCTTTGCTGTAAAAATATATGCTTAAAATGCTTCTAAAAATAAAATAATTTATTTAAAATTGCTAAAAACCTAACTTGTACAATATATCTGATAATCAAAATGCTTCCTGAGAATTTTTGCAGAGTTTTACGTTTTATTTTCTTTCAGTCTAGTTTATATTTTTTTCATAATGATTTTTTCTAAATTTTCATAATGATATATTACTAATGGTATTATATAACCTTGTGATTTTAGTTTTCAGCGTCATTTTTCTCTCTAATGTTGATCGGTTAATTTATTGTTCTTTCTCGATGGACCAGAAAATGTATAGATTAATTTGGAACTAAATCAGTAGTCTGAAAACGCCGAGAAAAATAATTTGTTTGTTACAATATCATTATAATCAAGAAGTATGTCTCTTTCAATTGCTAAAACCACTAAGGATGAAATACTTTCTTTTCTCATTGTCCTTCGAAGATAAGTTTTCAACCTTCTGAGACATAAAAATGATCGTTCACAGCTGGCTGAAGTCATTGGCACAGTCAAAAAAATCTAAACTGTAATGCTTTTAGAATAAATGTATTTTGTAGATGTTTCTTCCTAAAAAAATTCAAGCTGTTTTTTAAATTGCAATTTTCTATATTTTCAAATTTTATCATTGAATAAAACAGCCGTAGCTCACATAGCAGATTTTCTTTCTGCAAGTTATAGAAATTACATATAGTTGAACATAATTGAATTATAATTGAAACATTCTGCTCATCTTGGTGTACATCTGCTCACGCAGACAATATAGAATTAATGGCGATCAAAACAGATAAGTCATTCTCTTTAAACCTTGTTTGAATTTCGTTAGATGTAGAATCTATGATTTCATTTAGAACTGTAATTCTGTAATATGATTTAACATCATCCTGTGGATTTTTCTCACCACCGCCCAATTTACTCGGGATTTTATTTCGTCTCTTCATTTTGGTCCAGATAGGACTTTTTTTCACAAAGTTCGATTAACTCCCCACTTTATTAAAAAACACGTCATTGAACAAAGAATCAAGACTTTCGATGGTAGCTTTAGATAAAATTTTTACATCATCAAAACTGAGATCAGGCGACTGAAGGTGCTCCGAAAGAATATTGCATTGTTCAAGAACTTTGCGAAAAACAGGTAGAATGAATAAAACTTCGAAGGCTGTCATGCATATTAAAAGGGCATTGTCTTTCAGATATTTCTTCAAGTGCTAAAATCATAGTTTCAAAATTATCAATCAGTCCCTTTATGGCTTCCACTCTGCCACTCCATCTAGTATCATTGAGTGATTTAAAGCTGATGAGTCTCCGTCAAAAGTATTTGTGGACAAGCGTATTTTTTCAAAAATGGCATGCCTTTTTATGAGGCTTCTATGAAAATGTACACTGTGTTAAACTGCTCACATGCATTTATCACTGCAAGAATAGACGAACATAGACTAACTAAACACAAATTCAAGATATGTGCATAACAATGAACGTAAATTTCCACTGGATTATCCTGCATTATTCGTGTGGCTACACCACTGTATGGTCCTCTCATATTGGCCGCACCGTCGTAACATTGGACTCGTAAATCTTAAAAATTTAGCCCAAATGAAGAAATTACTTCTTTCAGCAAATTATACAAGTATTCTAGATTAGTTTTTTTTAGTCCTGTAAAATCCAGCAAAAGGTTTATGGATTTCCTAGTTGTTACCTATGTAATGGAAAATTACAGCCACTTGCTCATGATTGGAAATGTGTTGAGTTCCATCAACCACTACAGAAAAATAACACGACTATTTTATTTTATTTTGAATAAAGTTACAGATTTGCGATTTGCATAAATCAAGAAGATGACCTTTGTTGTACATACCAATAGGATTTCTCTTTTATTATTATTTTTTAAATTTCAATAAATGATCAGTCTTTAGCTCTCAAATCCATTAATTCCAAAAACTTGCCTCTATTATTAGAACTTATTTTTTTTCATCGTGTCCTCTCAAAGCAATTCCTTAACGTGCACAAAAAACTACAGTTTCACAGACTTTTTCAAATATTTGCAGTTTTCATCAACTTCTTATGAATGCTGCTCATCAAGCTTAGCACAGATGGAATGCGATGATAAACTTTCAGTAAAATTTACCAAACAACTTTCTGAGTTTTTATGAGAATCGCAGGACTCATGAGATTTAAATTTTTGAACTGCTTTCGACCAGTTACTGAACTTCTTAATTGTAGATGAAGATTCCTTATATACTTTATTAGGATCTGGAAATGCCTTGAACCAAAAAATAAATAAATAAATAATTTTATTTGCCGAAGGACTGTATTCTAATTATCTAAATGCATTGTACCAATCTTTCCTAAACTTGAGATTTCTTTTATCGAGTGGGAAAACAGGAAGTTCAGGTAAATAACGAATTAAAGTTAGATTTCCTTTGGGCCTTTGAAGACCATTAGCAGGGTGTCTTTCATGAATTGCAGGCAAAATTATAGAGCTTACCTTAGAATCATGAGATAGCACAATTTTAAATCTATTGTCAGAGAGACGCCGGAACATGCAACGAGGAAGCACGCCATCACGCCGAGCTCTTGGTTTTTGCCCAATTTTCAGTGGAAGTTTTTGAGT